CAATGCAATTCAGTGCTTCTGGTCTGAGGGCCACACATGGGGGCACTATGCTGGGTGACCTGATGGCCTCTAAGCATGGAGTGAGTCAGGGAAGGCCAGAGGAGGGGCATTTGCACTGATGCCGAGAGATGAAAGGAGCCAGCCATGAAGACTTCGAAGGGGAGGAGAGATGAGCTGGCCCAGGCCAGGGGACCAGCACTCCCCAGGTCTCCAGTCAGGCAGGAGCTGGACTTACTTGAGGAACGGGGCAGGGAGACCCTGCTGGATGGAGACGCCTCAGTAGGCTGTGCTGGGACCTAGAGGTGCCTCTCGATGGGGGGTGTTTAGTATGGGAGTGACAAGAACTCAGAAGTGGGAAGGCTGCATCCTGGAAAGACAGACCATGGTGACGTGGTGACGAGTGAAGGCCATGGAGTTGGAGGGGAAGTCACAGTTTTTCCTCTTCCCCTGGGTTTTCTGGTGGTGGTTACAGTGTAGGTAATGGCGAGATTCCTTGTTACACATTCCTACAAGCTGCTGTTACCCCTGGTGTCCCCTTCCCTTCCCTCCTTGCCTGGCTTCTCACCCTTGGAGCTTCATGAGGTCCCCCTTCCTTTTTCTTTTTCTTTTCCAGCTTCCACATGAGACAAAACATTCAACCTTTGACCTTCTGAGTTTGGCTGTCTTCACTTATTGTTCTTAAGTTCCATCCGTTTTCCTGCAAATGACATAATTTCATTTTTCTTTATGGCTCAGTAAAATGCCATTGTGTATAAATGCCACATTTTCTTTATCCATCATCCATTGATGGACACCTAGGCTGGTTCCACAGTTTGGCTATTACGAATTGTGCTGCTGTAAACACGGTCTGCATGTGTCACGGTAGTAGGATGACTTTAATTCTTCAGGATACAATACTGAGGAGTGCTGTGCAGAGGCTTTTTGATTTGATGTCATCCCATTTATTAATTCTTGGCATTATTTCCTGAGCTCTAGGGGTCCTATTGAGAGAGTCGTAGCCTGAGCCTGTATGCTGGAGTGCTGACCCTGCATTTTCTTCTTGGAGTTGCATAGTTTCTGGTCTGATTCCTAGGAGGACAAACACCTTTGCCTGGAGTCTTGTGTCGAAGTCAGATTGGCCCCTGGAAGGAGCATGAGGCCAGATTCCAGGGCCCAGGGCTAGGAAAGGGGTCTTAAACAAGAACTGGATGGAACCATTGTACCCAAGGAGGATGGAGTGGGGACTCATCAGTAGTCACCTCATGAGCTGTGGCCAGGGCAGGGTCAGACTCCAGCCCACACACTCCTGCACCCATCTTCCTCTGCTGGGCATCGGGTGGGAGGTGTCAGGGTCCTAGCTAGCATTCTCTGCATGGTTAGTCCCCATCCCTTGGCTGAGACTGCATGGCTGGTTCCAACCCCAGATGGCTGCTCTATAGGAAGAGGTGGGAGTTGTCCCAGAAGCCTGTGTGCCCAGCCAGGGTGCCTTTCCTGGGGGTCACAGGTGAGACATTGCAGCTGGGCTTCCCCAAGCCCCCTTCTCTCTTTCCCTTTAGGGTTTTCTTCTGGTGCCCTGCCCTGAGCTGCCTCCCTGAAGAGGGAGCCCTCTGGAGCCCGGACACCCCTGGCCCTGCAGGGGGAGATGATTGATAGGATCGAGTACAATGTGGAACACGCAGTGGACTACGTGGAGAGGGCCGTGTCTGACACCAAGAAGGCTGTCAAGTACCAGAGCAAGGCGCGCCGGGTCAGTAGCGAGCACCCACTGGAGCTGGGGTCCATCGAGCACCCTCCCCATTCTGCAGCTACTCCACCCCCACCAAGCTCCAGCCAGAGCCTTCACCACCCATCACTACACACTCCCAGGCTGTCACCCCTTCCCTGAGATCCCCCAGATCCTCTGGTCCTTGGTCCTCGTTCTAGTCCCTCTCCAGCAATGCCTGCCTCTCCCTCTTGCAGAAGAAAATCATGATCATCATCTGCTGTGTGATCCTGGGTATCGTCATCGCCTCTACCTTTGGAGGCATCTTCGGATAGAAACTACCCACCTGCCGCTGTACTCTGGACGGGCCATCCTGAGGAGCCCTGGCTGCTGCTGCCTGGCTGGGTCGCCCTCCCACCCCGCCTCCTGGCTCAGACGCCCCCACCCCACCCCATACTGCCCCTCTCTGCCCTGGGCTTCCCTCTCCTGACTCTGCCCTGAGCCGTGTTGTGTGCATGATTTGTGACAGTGTGTGTCTGTAGAGGAGGCAGAGGGAAGCAGGGCAGGGAAGAACGAGGGGCTAGGGATGGGTCCATGCAGAGAAGACCCAGGTCTTACCCAGCTTGCTCCAACTTGACCAGGCAGGGCTGGCAGCTGGCACATACTGCCCTGGCTTGGGATCTGGGCTGCTTCCAGATCCCCACCTGGCTTCCACCTCACCTGCCCATCTTCTCTATCCTTTGGCCTCTCCAGCTGTTCCCCTAAGCCGAGCCCCCTGAAGGGTGGGGACCAGCTGACCACATGGTGCTGCTTTTTGGGTTAGGGGAGGGTGCCCCTGAGGGATAGCCCAGCACTAAGCCTCTATTAGCTGACCACTGCCAGGAGGCTCAGGGTGCCATGGTTGCTGGCTCGCCAAGATCAGGCTCCCTCTCCTACCTGGGGCAAAGCCCAGCAGGTCCTCAGCCTCAGCCTCCCTTTGCACAGCCCTCAGCCCCAGGAGCAATTTCTTTGGGGTAGGTGGGACCCCAGGTGACCCACTGGAAGATGGGACCCCAGAAGAGGCTGGCTGGCTTGTGCCCAGGTGCCGGTGACCCTTGGCACTAGGAAGGCAGAACAGGCTCCATCAGGCCTTTCCCCATGAAGGCTGCAGCTTGGGTCAGCCACTGTCCCAACAGGCCTCATCAGTTGGGACCTTAAGCCAGCACTGCATGTTGGGGACAATGGTCCCTGCTCTTCCATGCTTCCAGAAGCCAGATGTCACTCAGACCTGCAGTCTCATCCTGCCCTTGCTGTCCCCCACTGATGTGCCACATGGTGTCAGTTGTCCCTGATGCAGTATTCAGCAGCCAGTCATGGAGGGCTCACTCCCTCCCCTGCCATCTTGGGGCTTCAGGTCAGAGCGTGCCCCCCCCCCCCAGACCCCTGCCTTGTGGACAGGCAGGGAGTGTGCATGCGAGTGCATGCAGCAGGGCGGGGCAGCGCAGAGTGCCCTGCATCCCTCGGCTTTGTTCCCGCCCAGTGACTGTGACTACTGTCCGTGTTGCCTTCTTGAACTGCGGCTTCTCCTCCACCCCTTCACCAAAGGTCTTGGTACAACCAGCTGCCCATTTTGTGGAATTTTTATGTAGAATAAACATTTGTATCTGTACTGCAGGCTTATGTTTGCCATTTCTCACTGGCTGCAGTGACATGGCCTTAGAACTTGGGGTGACTGTGGGCATTAACAGAAGGGGCTCAGATGCAAAGGACCCCAGTCTCCCCCGGCACACATGCCGACATCTCCATCTGGCCATTCAGTGGGCAACATCCAGCCTTTCCTATGAGGATAGTTCCAAAGTCCTACCCTCACTCCAGGTTAAGTGGCCAATGCCTTGACAGAGGCGAGGCCTGCAACCTGATCCCTGGGACAGATATCACTCTAAGGTGGAGCTCCCCAGGCCCTAAGCCTCCCCTCCAGCCACCTGCGAAGGGCTCAGCCCCTGCTCAGTGCCTAGTGCCTGTTCGCACTGCACGTCCAGCTCTAGTCCCTCTGCTCCCTGGCCCAGACCTTGGTTATCACCCTGACAGACTCACACCATACATCCTGGAACAGGACCTGCCTCCTGACCACTTCGGATTGGACAGGAGACAGCTTCTGAGGCAATCAAGTGCTGGGCTAGGAACATCACCCACCAAAACCAAGGTGGCAGAGGCCTGCAAAGGCCTCAGGCCAGTGGGCACCACTGCCACACTCCACCCTGACCACCCTTCCCCACTCTGCAAGTGGGTGCGATGTGCAAATCCCACATGACAGGAGACCTTAGTTCAAGGAACCTACCCGTGTTCCTTACTTCCACCCAGCTGGATCTTGAGACCCAATTCTTGCCTAGAGTCCTGCAGTAGCCCCCAACAGAGGGATTAGGGAGGCTGGGACAGGACTGGACTAGCTGGGGCAGAGGGAGGACAGAATGGGAGTTCACTTCCACACAAAGTGGTTTATTGCTTTTAGAACAAAACAAGAAATCCTTATAACTTTTTTAGTGAAAATAATTTTAGAACTTTTTTAAAATACTATGTTGTCAATTGCAGAAGTAATCACTTCAAAACAGAAAACTTCCTGGGGGCGAGAGCTGAGCTGGCGGCTCCCATGATGGGTCAGAGCTGTCCAGAGGTGGCTGCCACTCAGAAGCGTGGCTTGCGCTTGCGGCCGGTGTACTGAGTGTCGGGTCGGACTTCCCTGTGGGGGACAACAGTGTCTCAGGATAAAGAACCCACAGCCCTCCCAGCAGGTGAGCCCTCAATGGCCATGGCCACCGCCCCCCACGTCACTGCTCCCTGCCCGCTACTCACTTGCCCTGACGTCTGTAGCGCTCCTTCTTCTCCAGCACCCACTCTCGGCTCTTCCTCACCAGGCCTCGCTGCGCCAGCCTGTGGGGAACCCTGGGCCAGAGGCGTGGCCATGAGTGGTGGACTGAGCTGCCCCTCGGCACATGCTGACAGTTTGGGAGTTTTCCCCCAGTAAAGGTGGTCTCTCACTGTCCCCTCCTGCAAGTACTCCCTCTTCCATGATGGCGCGTCCCCAGGACAGCCCCCTTCCTAGTACAGGTGCTGGGGCCAGAGGTGTGCGGCCTTCACTTGGCATCTCTGTGGCAACTGTGCTGGGTGCACATACTTCCTGCCTCTAGGGGCTGCACTACTTTGGGGTCAACTTTGGCCAAGAGCAGGTCGGAGCTGGCAGTGCCAAGGAAAGCCAGAGGCCCCCTGCCTAGGGCTGCCACAGGGGGCCCTGATGGTCCTGTGGAGTTGGGATGCCTGGAAGTGACCAAAGGGCTCCCAGCTGTTCATGTCTGAGGTAGGAAAACAAGACTACCCAGCTCCTGGCAGCCCCAACGAGGACCTCGAAGACTAATCTTGGCCCCCAGCTCTGGCTGAGGAGACGAGAACCCCACAGCACCACGGGGGAGAGGCCACAAGAGGAAGCCTGCGCTGGTCCCCTAAAGCTACATCCCGGCCTGGCAGCAATGCTTTCAGCACAACACAGGCAAAGCTGCCTGCCACTCCCCAAGCACCTGAAGCACAGCCTGTGGAACCAGCCTTGCCCTTCAGGTACCCTCGAGTACACCAGGGCAGAGGCAATGCTCTCTAGGCAAAGCCAGTGTGGAGGCCCAAGAGCTGCTCAGGGTGTACCAGAAAGGAGCACAGAGAAGGACCAGAACAAGGGACCCAGGGGTGAGGAAAGACAACTGGAAGAGCCCAGAAGACCCAGGAGAGTCCTGAGAAGCAAGCGAGGCCAGAGCCAGCAAGTCCCACTGAACCCCCATCCTGTTGCACAGGTGCGTGCAGGAGCTCAGTCCCAGAAACCATAACGAAGCACCCAGCACGCAGCAGCCACAAGCAGCAGTGGGAACAGCCTGGGGGGGCATAAGGGAGCAGGTGGCTGGGGTGTGACTCAAAGGCCAAGAGAAAAGGGGGCGTGGCCTCAGGAGTTTGGAGGGGTCAGTTAGGATGAGGAAGCATGGACCAAACAGGAGAAGCAGAAGAAGCAGAGGCACAGCCTCACTAGACAAAGCCTTCAACTTGTTCCTAATCCACCTATTTGAAATTGTCCTCAATGTGATGAAACAGTAGTGACAGTAAGTTAGAATGCTGCAGCCGCCCCTCTGTCCACATTGAGCCATGGAGCAGGAGCCTGCAGAGCAAGGGAGCCACGAAGCACACACTCGCTGTGCTCCACACACGGTGACAGGGCAGGGTCAACCCCTTTTAAACAGCTGGGGAATAGTGCCCAGTCCTCCAGCTCACCCAAGTTTATAGTAAGGACATGTGGTCAGCAGACTCAGGTATGAGGACCAAGTGGCATAGGGGTCAACACAACTGTACCCTCCTCTGCCAAATAGACAACCCCCCCACCCAGCCAAGAGGAACAACCACAGGGCCCCTCAGGGGTCAGAAGGAGTGGTCTGGTGTCTGCAGAAACACTCAGTTTTCACCTTGAGACTGGTTTCATCCAGCAGAACCAGGGAACAGCTTCCCTCTCAGCCACCACATAATCCACTACACATTCAAGAATCCCAAGCTCCTTCTATTAACAAGAGGCTATTGTTGATCCAACGATCTGACACCAGCCCCACCAAGATTTCATTTTAGTTGGGGATACAAATAATAACCACGCAAACAAAACACATGACTCAGAGCAGGGACAGGTGGAGAATGAAGGCGACAGGAAGGCCACCACAGACAGTGGGCAGAGAATCAACAGGAGATGATGAACCTTTGAGAAGAGGTCCAGTGTCGCTGCTGGGCAAAAAACAAGTTGAAATTTGTTTTCAAGTTTCAATGGACAGATGGACATCAGGGAACCTCGGCAGCAACAGTCTAGGCTAGATTTGGGGCACATGTTGAGGGAGGGATGACAGGACTCGTGGGTGGGCTGACTGGATGTCACACGTGAGGAAGGACAGGAATGACTGAGAAGGCGGGGAACTTGGGAGTCTGACGGGCAGGTGGTGAGTCCAGGCAAGGGGACTAAGAAGCCGGGAAACCTGCAGTGGACTGAGGCTAAGGCTGTGATGAGGGCTCTGAAATCCTGGCTGACATTTAAAGTGGCAGAGATGAGAGCAGTGGGCCAGGCTGCCCAGCACACCACCCAGGAGAACCCACAGCACACTGAGCAGGAACAGTCAGTGGGGCTGCAGGAAAGCAGGACAGGTTGAACAGCCAAGAACATGTCCAGAAGGGAGTGGCCCCTGTGTCAGACCCCACTGAGCACACAGCTGAGATGAGGACAGCAGAGGGCAGGACTGAGAGGCGGCGGATCTGGCAAGATGGGGTCAGTGGGGAAGCTGAGGGCCTGCTAGGTCGGCAGAATAGGAAGCAGGTGGAGGCAAGCAGGCGCTCTGCTTCCCAGGAAGCAGACAGACAGGGTGACAGTGGGCAGCTGATCCGGGGTTGAGGGAGGATCTTTTCTGAAACAGGATAAATTGTGTGCAGATGCAAATGACCCAGGAGAGTGGAGATGAGGATGCAGGAGAGGGAAGGGGAGCCAGGAGGGAGCCACGCAGGGACGGGGCCCAGGTGCGTGGAGGGGGCAGCCTGCTACGAGGGGCAAGGGCATGTGCGGGCTGACTAAGGGAGCTGAGCTGCCCAGACACCCAGAAGTGTCCCACCCTCTAGCTCCAGCAGAAGCAGGCACAGTTCAAGAGCGATGTCCAGTTCCAGTCCCACCATGGCATCCCCACTGCATCTGAGGCTGTCTTGGGATGAAAGCAGAGAAACACTACAAATCTGGTGGCGACAGGCCCTGCCCCTAACCGGACTCCGCAACTGCTTTACCTCTTATTAGTGAACATGGACTCAGTGGCCTCCTCTTCCTCCTGATTTTCGCTCAACCCCTGTAGGAAACAAAGTGCTCTTAGACCACCCTGGAGATCCGCAACCCTGTTGCCCAATCCAGACCCTGAGCCCAAGCCCCTGCAATAGGCACAAGGTCTGTTCCAGAAAGAGCCAACACCCTTTGGGACCTTAGGGGCAGGCAGTCTCTGCATCCAGGTTGCAGAAACAGAACATTCCTGGCTCTGAGCTCTGGGGCTTGGGCCACCTTGACCTCTGTTGTTCTCTCAGAATGCTCTTCAGGCTAAGCTCCACAGCTGGAAATGCTGGAGACACAGGCCTAGAAACCCAGGGTCCCTCACCTTCGGCAGGAAGGTTGAAGGCCCAGAAAACAGACAGAGGTAGAACCTGAAACGAGAATGTAAGGGAGGCCCTGACTCAGAGCCCTGCGGGAAGTGGCGAGTCCCACTGGCCCTGGGACCCACCCCGGCACCACCCTGGTTCATCAGCTGGCCTAGACAGCCCACCAACCCCGCTCACTTCTTTGCTTTGGCACTGTTGGGGTAGTCCACCACCACGCCACCTGTGAAGCCGGCCTTCGTGGCCTGGGTTGTGATCAGCTCCAACTGAGGAGAAAAGGGTGGGGAGCTAGGCAGGGGAGGCTGAAGGAGAAGGCACATCCCTCCCCTCAAGCTGCCAGGCTGCTGCCCAGACATGGAAGGCCTTTCTCCATAAGACGCCTTCAGTTAGTCCCACAACCCCCAGAGCCACAAAGAGGCCTGCACCTCCCTTGGGGGATTAGAGAAGGGAGATCCCCCAGGTCTCCCTCTCCAGCCCAGGAACCCATCTCTTCATTCTAACCTCAGCAAATGAATGGCCACCAGCTGGGAGCCACTCACTCATGTGTTAGTCAAGGGGACTCGTCCTGTCTGAGTGGACATGAATTCATCATTTCTACTCACAAGGCCCAGAGCAGACACCTGCTTATTCCTTGCCCTCCCACCATTTATCTGGTTGAGGAAATCCCACTACTTGTAATACCACCTTGTCTGTCAGGAGAAGACAAGACACCTAACTGGTACCATGGACACCACCCCTCTTAGGATAACCAGTCACCATCAGGGGAGGGGCTGCAGGGCCCATTCTTGGGTGCTCAGTCCCTGTTCCCACTGACAGCCTGTGAAGTTCCTTGTCTGTGGTCTCCTGGCTGCCAGAGGGCAGCCGAGGGAGCACCAAGGCAGCTCCCTGTTCTGCACTCGCCACCAACTGCCACCCCCAGCAGCCAGGGCTCACCTGCTCAGAGTTCTCAGGGTACAGCTGCAGGACGGCACGGGCACCACGGGCCTGGGGGCAACAGAAATGTCACTGCCTCACAAATGCCCTCAGGATCAGGACCAGGCGGCCTTCCTTCACTAAATACTCATGAGCTCCCAGTGAGTGCAGGACGCTGATCTTAGGGCCAGATATCTTCATGAACAAAAGACACTCCCAAATGGTCGGAGCCCACTTTTTGGTGGTGGAGGCAACCAACTGACAGCAGTGGTAAGTGCCAAAAGGAACACTCAGTAGGCTGGAGGGGGCGGGCTCCTGGGCTCCCTTTAGTTTAAGGCAGGCCTCGCTCTGAGGGCCCTGGGCAGAGTACTGATGTGGGGGCAGCTGCCGCTGGAATGAGTGAGGAAGGGGGAGCACCAAGGCCCCTGCAGCTCTGAGATGCACCCAGGGTGTGAGAGGGAGAAACCCAAAACCTTCAAGACCAGCAGCCAGCCACCTCCAGGAACCACTTGCCCGGGAAAGTGGGATGAGGAGGGGGGACTAGGGTGGCAAACATACCCAGGTCTTTCAAACTGTGAAAGACTTCCTTTAGGATTTAGAATTTTAAAACCCATGACTAAATCTTAGGAAAAAAATGAAATCAACACCATTCCAGTTACAGAGACAAAATAAAGCTAACAAATGCTCTTAATGATAAATAATCAACCTGCTCCCATCTCAGGCCGACATCAGTGGGGGGGGAACAGAGAGGGAGAGATGTGGGAAGGGTACACCTTCCGGAGTGCCCTCTGTGCTGGCCATGCCATCCTGTTCTCACTCTGCTCAGCCCATGTCCCCAACTTCTGGTTAAAATGTAGCAGAAAGCCCCAACTTCGTAGGAAGCTCTTAAAAGCCCTCTGACCCTGTGTAATATCATCTCCCATAAACCCAAGGAACTGTGATCGACAGAGGCTGCCCTATTCCAAGTTCATACCTGGGTCTCATACTGACTCCAGTGTCTTTGGGGATTGATTAATGTCAGCCCAGTGCACCTGGACTTCTGTTTTGGCTAAGGGCCTGGATAGCAGCAACCACAGTAAGGTCCTGCCACCCCTCCCATCATGGGATCCCTCAACTCCACAACCCAACCTGCAGGGGTGGGTAGGAAGGACAGCCAGCTTAGAAAAGGAGGAGACCTCATACTCACCAAAACAGAATACAGAGAGGAAAAAAAGCGGTACAGGCGCTTGGCAGGAATGTCGGACTTCTTGTTGGCATTACAGAGCCACTGCACAGCAGAGATGCTGGAAGAAAAGGGATCAATCAGGAGGGGGACCAACCCTTGGCCTCCCCGACTCCAGGCTTCTTCAGGCCTCTGGCACCTTCCACCATGGCCTCCTGCCCAGAACATCTTTCTTGGAAAGTGCTGGCCCATTCTTGGGCACTCTTACAAACTGGATCAAGCTAGCCAACTGTAGGGAAGGTAGTGCTCACCTCCTGAGTCAGGCCCCCCACTCCCTTCCCAGTCAAGAAAGGGCACCCAACTGGTCCAGCTGCCCCTTTATGCTAAGGTGCTTCCTTCTGTGCCTGCCCAGGGTCTTTGCAGTCCTGATCTAAGCCTTCAGCAGTTCCCATGTCCCCCCTCTCAGCTTGCCCCTACCTCAGCACCCAGGAGCATTTCAAATGCTTCTCAACCTCCCCTCACTCTGTTTCCATCTCAAACAGCCTTCCTCAAACAGATTGATTGCATTGCTCCCCATCATCTACGAAATAAAGCCCCGATGTCGTAGGATGCTCCTAAAAGCCCCCTGGGAACTGACCCTGTGCAATATCAACTCCTATGAAACCCTGCGTTCACCCTGTGCTCCCTGGCTCCCTCCCACCCACCGATGCCCTCTCTTGCTCCTCTTCTCTTGCAGGCCCCTCACTACCTGAATCCCACCCGGCTCCTCTCCTTCAAGGCCTTCTGCTCTTCTTCACAACTCTGGCAGGCCCCACAACTCCCGCACACACCCCACAAGTGGCTTTGTGTTCAGTGGCCTGGCTGTCTATAGCCCTCGTAAAGCACAGACAATCTTAAAAGCAGCAACTGTGTTTTATTTCTACGTATTCCACAGCACTCTGTACAACGTCTTACGTATACAAAATGTTTTTTAAAAAATACACCATAACATCTCTTTTCTTAAAAACAAAAATGAGCCAGGCATGGTGGCACACACCTATAATCCCAGCAACTCAGGAGCCTGAGACAGGAGGATTGCAAGTTTGAAACCAGCCTCAGAAACTTAGCGAGACTCTGTCTCAGAATAAAAAATAAAAAAGGACTGGGGATGTAGCTCAGAGGTAAAGCACCCCTGGGCTCAATCCCTGGTACCAAAACAAACAAAAATAATAATAATAAAAAAATGAAGTTGGTGCAGCCATCCACACCTCTAATCCCAGTGACTTGGGAGGCTGAAGCAGGAAGACTGCAAGTTAGAGGTCAGCTCTGGCAACTTAGCAAGATCCTAAAAAGAGCTAGGGTTGTGGCTCAATGGTAGAGCATTCTGGATTCAACCCCAGTACCAAGAGCGGGGGGAGCTGTGGGTGCAGCTCAACAGTAGACTCTACACTTAGGATGCATGAGCCCCGCCCTACATTCTCTCTCTCACACACACACACACACACACACACACACACACACACACACACACACGACCACTTGCTTCTGATATACATACTATAATACTGGCCTTTGGTTTCTCACAGCTTAGAACACCTCACCTAATCATTACTGAAAAAACAACTGCTACCCTTGAAATGTCCCCTGACCTAAGTCTTACTCCTACATGTAAGAAAATCTTCAAATTCAAATATTGATTCCTCACACTAATCCTACCCCCAGCCTAGGATTGCCAAAGGAGGTATCCCCAACTGAAGGACTGTAACTTCTCCCTTATCCCAGCTTCCACTCCCAGCAACAGGGTACTGCTCCAAACACTGAACAGAACTCAGCTAGGAAGACAAAGAAAAACTTCATATTTCCAAGTCATTTCAGTGTTCTAAGATCTTTTTCCAAACTAAAAACATGCCCCAAACTTGACCCAACAACCAAGAAAGAGCTCCAAAGCCAATGAAGACATTAGAGTATCCCAGGCACTCTCCACTAGTTGTTTGAAAAGAAGAAAACAAGACGTCTTCCAAGGCCCACGACATGGCTTCTAGAGGCTCAAAGCCCCTCGACCCCAGCATATACAAGCACATAGAGAATCCATACTGAAGGGTCTGAACCTGGCAATGCAAGCTGATCACAGTAGACAGTTTTGAAATTAAGTACACATTTTTGGGCCTTCTGCAATAAATCTGAAAATCCCAGGAGATGTATACTTTCAAATATCCTGTGTGACTCTGCTATAGCCAACTTTGGGAGCACTGGCCTACAAAATTAAGAACAGGAAGTGAAGACCCTCACCTGATACAACCATCAAAGGAGCCTGGTTTGAAGGGGATACCCTGGCCCATATCCCCCAAAAGCAGGTCTCCTTCCGTGTCTCGGTCCAAGGCTGCATCTACATGGGAGAAAAGGACATAAGAGAAGCAGACAAGGAGTACAGCTGCGCCCTACTCATGAGGGTGGCCTCCCTGGTGTGAGACAGGGCATACTCACCCAGCATGGCAGGGCTGATATCAATGCCCACCCAATAGTGCCCTTCATCTGAGAGATAATCTCCACTCAGCCCAGAACCACACCTGGAAGACACAATGGACAGGGAAGTCCTCAGTACTACTGAGTAGCAAAAATGCTGCCCAGGCAACCTGAACCAGGCCCCAGGATCTCACCCAATGTCCAATAGGTAGCAGGGCTGACCCTCCGGCAGATTAAGGAGCTCCAGTGCTCGCCCAGCCATCTTGGTCTGAACATCGATCATCCGTGAGCTGGGAAGGCAGAGTACAGTGAGTGATAAAGGAGTGCTAGGCTTACACCTCACCAGAATAAAAAACCCAGAAGAAGAAGGGAACCATCAGCCAGAGGTACTCCTTCTTAACCCTGCTCCTTGTAATTATAACTTAAATCTATTTAAGAGTGGTTCTAAAAGGTCATGGAATACAACAACATGCTATTTTATTGTGACAAATTATATACACCAGCTGCTAAGCTGATGTGAAGGGAGCAAATCCTTTAGATAATAACCAACCAGTGACTAGCTACAGCTCCATCATGCTTCAATGTTCTATTACTTATAAATGTATTCTTCCAAAGAGAAAGTGACTCTCATATATAAGAATAAAAAATGCACAATAAGAACCTAAAGCAGGGTCGGGTATGGTGGCACACTTCTGTGATCCAAGAAACTCAGAACGCTGAGACAGGATCAAAAGTTTGAGGCCAGCCTCAACAACTTGGTGAGACCTTAAGCGACTTAGAGCCTGTCTCAAAATAAAAAATAAAAAGGGTTGAGGATGTAGCTTAGTGATAAAGCCCCAGTACTAAAAACAAAAGAACAAACAAAAACCTATAGCAGGGGTTGGGGATACCCATTGGTGGTAAAGTACATGGCTAGCATGCATCAGGCCCTGGGTTCCAATCCCTACTACCACAAAATAAATAAATAAACAAACTAACAAACAAACAAATAGTGCAAATAAATACATAAACAGGACGTGTAAGGCATGGAGTTCGATTCTCAGCACCACACTTAAATAAATGAGTAAAATAAAGGTCCATCAATATCTAAAAATAGATAAAAACAAAATCATAAGAAATAACATGCAAGTCTTATGTGACTGTTAAGTAACTACAATTAAAAAGTAGGTAAACTGGGGCTGGGGATGTGGCTCAAGCAGTAGGGTGCTCACCTGGTATGCTCGGGGCACTAATAAAATAAAGATGTTGTGTCCACCGAAAACTAAAAACTAAAAATTAAAGAATTCTCCCTTAAAAAAAAAAGTAGGCAAACTGCAGTAAGTTTATTTGTAACTCCATATGTCAAATAATGGTTTATTTAATCTAATATGCCCCAATTTTTTTGGTGGGCAGGGTACCAGGGATTGAACTCAGGGACACTTGACCACTGAGCCACATCCTCAGCCCTATTTTGTATTTTATTCAGAGTCAGGATCTCAGAGTTGCTTAGTGCCTCGCTGTTGCTGAGGCTGGCTTTGAACTCATGATCCTTCTGTCTCAGTCTCTCAAACTGTTGGGATTACAGGCATGCTCACCTCACCTGCCCCAAATATTTATTTTGATATATTATCAACATAAAATATTATACGACATTTTACATTATCTCCATACCAAATCACTCAGACCATATTTCAATAGATGGCTTCAGGCTGCCACAATTAACAGGTCTATAGTATATCCAACCTTCTCGAGATCAGGGGGAAGAAAAAAAGAATCACACTCCACAGTTTTCAAAATGCCTAAACATAGCTCTGCAGATGATAGTCTATGTGTGACTCGTAAAGACAAGTGGACCAGAGGTTTTTGCTGACCCTCTCTGTCTTGAACTCCAGTTTGAACGGGAAGGAAAACCCGGGTATCCTGTAGAATTTTCGACAGCGTCGTATACTGGAAAGGGCAGTTTCGGAAGTCCCTGCTGAAGCTTCTACTTGCCAAATAACTCCGCACCTGTCCCAGTAGCTACCCTCCAGGCACCTCAGATACCTGTGCCAACGGCCAGCCGTCGTGCAAACGTAATGCGACAACGTACCTCGATCAAGCGAACCTACCTATTATTTCCTCCCCACCCACAGAACCGACCCACGAACGCGCCCTCCGCCCCCTTCGCCAGGCGCTGGAACAGCGGCCGCCCTGCGCCACCACCACCGGGTAAAGCAGGCACGACCGCAGCTGGGCGCCGCGGTTACCGAGGCCCCACAGGGATCACGGCTTAACGCTGCCTTGACGGAGGCAGAGAAGTGGCCTCCTCGCTCAGCTCCCTGCTCTCCCCCGCCCCAACATTCTGCGTGTTTTCCAAGTAATGCCGACACTCGGGGCAGCTGCCTGGCCCCGGCCCCCCGACGCCGCGGGATTCCAGGCTCCCCTCACTTGCGAACGTATTTCCGGGCTTCATTCTGGTCGTAAAACTGCGGGGAAGAAGAAGAGAAAGGCAAGTAGAGGAAAGAATTCAGACGCCACAGCCCTAGAAGAGGAGAAAGCGATACCCGCGGGCCAAGCGCCTCACCAGCTCCGGGGGTCCGCTGTGCTCGGGTCTCCGACCCCGAGACGCCATGCTCTAGCCTCCTCAGCACGCCGGCGTTCCCGGAGCCCGGGTTTTATGTCATCAGCCCCGCGACTGCCTCGTAACGCGCATGCTCCGCCCCTCTCCCCGCCTTCTCGTGCACCTGATTGGCTACCTGCCGGCGCCGTCGCGACCAACACGCGGTTCCCATTGGTTAACGCAGCGCCGCCCACCTCCCTTCAAGATGGCTGCTCCGCGCCGGCCTTGGTGGCCGCGGTTGTTCCTGTGGAAATTGTGGCAAACCCGGAGGTTTCCACAGAATTCGGCGATACACCCGGACCTGCGAGCGAGGACTTACTCTGGAGGAGACGGCCCATACTCGCGCACGGCGCTCTACGAGCTGCTCGGCGTTCCCTCTACAGCCACCCAGGCGCAGATCAAGGCGGCTTACTACCGGCAGAGCTTCCTCTACCATCCCGACCGCAACTCGGGAAGCGCCGAGGCTGCCGAGCGCTTCACGCGCATCTCCCAGGCCTACCTGGTGCTGGGCAGTGCCACCCTCCGTCGCAAGTACGACCGCGGACTGCTCAGCGACCAGGACCTACTCGGGCCGGGCATCCGGCCCTCGGCGGCGCCCGCGGCCGACCCGGCTCCCCGCGCCCCGCCGTCCAGCTGCCGGGCCCGTGAGGCTGGCGGGGCCGCCTCGGGCGCCCCCCGCACCATGTTCAACTTCGACGCCTTCTACCAGGCGCACTACGGAGAGCAGCTGCAGCGCGAGCAGCGCCTCCGGGCCCGGCGGGAGGCTCTTCGCAAACAGCAGGAGGACCAGGCCAGGAAGGGGTTCCAGTGGGAGGAAACTCGGGACGCGACTTTCATTTTTCTTCTCCTCTTAATATTCATCCTCATCGGCCTTCGTATTTGATGAGAGACGGGAGGGCAGGAGAACTGCCCAGCCAGCCCCGAGAAAACGCCCTTTCCTTTCGTAGTCTACCTCTGTTGGGGTCCGAAGGGATGTGCTCCTTGACCTCCCGAACCCGCCAATCCTAACTGGTGACCTGCACATCCCTGCGGTCCAGAAAAGGAGGCTTCTCGATGCCCAAGAGGTCCCAGCATGAAGAATCCCAAAGGCCCGAAGTGGAGGGTTTTCGGGAGTCCCTTGGTTGCCTGCTTCCAGAGGTCGCCTTCCTGATGTCCACTTCTGGAATTCTCGCTCTGGCTTGATCGAAAAGCCCTGAGCAATATTTGCCTGCTACTGCCCCGTATTTGTGTCTCTGGGCTCCTGGGTAACCTTGAAACGTGCAATATGCCCAGTTGTTGGCTGCCAAAAGAAAAATTCTGGGGCTGTACGACACTTGTCTTTCTGTGTGTTCCCCACACCACAGATGTGGACTGATCCAGGGTAAGGATGTGGTGCATAGAGAGCTTAGTGCTCCTCAAGGGTCTGCCCCACACCACTCTCCCTTCTGTTGGTGGCACATGGGAGTGAGAAAACAAGGTCATCAGGCATAAGGAGTGTGTGCCCCGTGTCCATATGAATCTAGTGTGTGACCTTGGAGAAGGAGTGAATCATTTGCTCTCTTGAGGCCTGTCACCCTTTATTAACCATAGTTCTAGACCTTAGTGATTACAGCATGAAGGGCAGAATTCACCTTGGGACTGTGTGCCTGTCACCTGGTCAGCCTTTTATTAGCCCGTCTCCTCCAAGAAATAGACTGACTTGGAGCTTCAGTCCCTGGAGGGTGGCCCATACTCCTGTTTAATTTGCAGTGCTTATCAGAGGCCCCATAAGCCATGTCCTGAAAACCAAGCCACTGGAGGCTGTGAGAAACTCCAGGGGTTTGGAGTAGCCAGGCCTCCTGAGGGTCAGAAGCCTTGTTGGTCAAAGTGGAGAGTGTTCCTCCTGCACAACTGCATGAAGGGCTGTTTGGAGTTTTGGGTATTTGGTTTTTCTCTCTGGTGCTGAGCAGCTGGGCAGTAAGACTCCTTTCACTTACGACCTGTGAGAGTGGGATGGCCATGAGATGGCAGAAGCTGGAGTGTCTATGCCCAGGGCTGAGTATAAAGCTGTGGGAGAGGAAAACCCTTACAGGATGTCTAGGCCAGGTTGCGGACCCAAGTCTAGGGTGTAAGCAAAGCCCAAGGTGCTTAGGTATGTTAATGCCAGCTCGTGCTCTTGATGTTTTGTGTAAGATCCTTGTATAAATTGGGGTATACCCACATATAGTCCAGCTTGATCTCTTGAAAACTATTTGATTATCTTGCCTAGGAGGCGGGGGTAAATTAGTCATTAGATTCCCAGTGATCATGATTCTGCAGTAAAGATTCAAACCCATGTAGATTCAGAGCTGCTTGGCTCTGAGCCTTGATTTACTGGTAGAAGGTTTTGGTTATTTTTTTAATTTTGTTTGTTTGGTACCAGGGATTGAACTCAAGGGCACTGAGCCACATCCCAAGTCCTATTTTGTATTTTATTTAGAGACAGAGTCTCACTGAGTTTTTTAGCACCTCACTTTTACTGAGGCTGGCTTTGAACTCACTATCCTCCTGCCTCAGCCTCCCTAGCTGCTGGGATTATAGGTGGGTCCTGGCGACCCACTAGAGGATATATGTACTTTTTAAAAGAACTTTTAATGTTGTTATGTTTCAAGTTCTCTTTGTACATATAAACTAGGGGAAGCGGAGCTTAGCAAAATGTGCACAAGTGAGTGATTTCTCGTCCAAGAAAGCAAGGCTTGACAGTACTTGGGGTGGGGGCTTTTGTTTCCATCAGAAGGGCTCTTTAGTTTGGGTTTGTAAAAGCACTAGGGATCTGTAACACCATGCACCCATGACACACAGACCTCACGTTTGTCTTCTCCCAGCCAAGAATGTTTCCTGTGGCCCTAGAACCAGCAAATACATAGAATTTTACAGGTTTCAGACTGGGGAGATGGTTCTCAACATGAAAATTCTCGGGACGTTCCATAACATTCTATGCAACTCTAAACAGGTTAGTCTGTAAAGTTTATTAAGCATCATCTACCTGTCAGCCTCTCCTGTGGCTATGACAAGGACCACTGCACTCTGAGAGTGTCCATCCCCATAAGCTTCTGGTCTTTTTTTAAGCCACAGCCGGGCTCTGAGAGGCTCTATCCCTGCTGTTCCTAAAACAGTCTGAGTCTTCATGGAAAGGGAGATGTGTGGTAGGAGGACTTTGAAGGATCCCCAACTGGTTCCCATGATAACATTTGTCTCCCCCTTTCCTGATTGTTTGAGTCTTACTCTACCTGCCCTGGCAAGAGGAGGCTGCCATGGACACTAGCCTCTGCCTTGTAGGGCTTTTCCCCCTGGTCCTGATCCTGCAGGAAGGCTCAGACATGCCCAGTCTTAGTCATTTTTCTTCTTTTGGTTGGAAACTAAAATCTCCCCTGAAGTTTGGACCTAGAACAAGAGACTAGCAAAAAAGGGCCAAATCTGCCTCAGGCTGTGCTCAGTGGGGTGGGGAAGGGTGTGCAAGTACAGTAGAGGCCAAGAGAGAGGCAGGCACCAGGCTCAGGTGGGAAGACTTGGGCAGCCAGCAGGGACCAAGACGCATGTGTGTAGACAGCTGTGTGTGTCCTTGGAGTTGATCAGAACTGTGTTCCTTTTGAGCCAAACTGCTCCCCCCTCATTGCTCTTTTATTTTATTGCTGGGTAAACTAACCCTTTGCAGATCCCAGCATTGACAGTAAGAGTCCTACTTTCTTCTGAGATCCGGGCTGTCATCCTGTGGGTGCATCTTCAGCCTCTGTCATGGAACCAGAGGGAGCCAGCCTTAATCCAAGGAGTCATCCCTTGGATCACAATTGACTCAGGTCATCACAGGTGCCAAGCGATTGGCACCAACACTCCTTTTTTTGAGAAATGGGAGAAGCCTGAGTCTTGAACCTTTTGGCTTTCAGGGAGGTCACCAGACCCCACGAAAACAGGCGAAGAGAAGGGACATTGGTCAGTGGTGGTACTCCTTCAGTCCTCTCCCTCACACCCCCTCTTTTTTTTTTTTTTTCTTTTTAGAATTTTAATATTTATTTTTTTAGTTTTTTGGCGGACACAATATCTTTGTTTGTATGTGGTGCTGAGGCTCGAACCCGGGTGGCACGCATGCCAGGTGAGTGCGCTACCGCTTGAGCCACATCCCCAGCCCTCACACCCCCTCTTTTAAAGTGCTATGGATTGAACCCAGGGCCTCACACCTGACCCTGGGCATGTACTTTACCACTGAGTTACATCCCCACCCCCATCCATGCTCTTGAAGTTGGTGCACAAAAATATGGGCTCTAACCTGGCCTTTGCATACTCTCAATTCATCTGCCTGTGATTAAGTCACATACTGCCATCTGCCCATGCACAAGAGCATGGCAGAGAACCTGCCTCTCCTGCCCCCCAGCTCAGCTCTGGGATGCAGCTTACAGCCCAGAGAGATTTGTGCAGAGCAGCTGAGTGTCCCTCTGTTAAGGTATGTGGACCTTCTGACCTTGCATTGCCAAGAATGCTCTCATCACAGCAGGTAGCCCATATGGGGGTTCATCTCTCACTGGCTGTCCTGAGGTCACTTGGTCCTGTGACTCTAGACATATCTCCAATTGCCATATCTCAGGCCTGGGATCCTGCGGCTAATCTTGAGGCTGGTTGACCTCCCGCTCACCCTACCTTTGCCCCTTTAGCATCCACACCCTCAGTCCAAGGAGGGGATGCATTAAACACAAGAAGGCCTATTTCAGAAGACTTGGGGCAGACAGATTTGTGGTTCATGGGCCGCAACTAACCTGTTTGGCTGGGATGTGTCCTAAAATATCTTAAACCAACATTCAAAACTTGGGAGATTTTTGCAAAAATAGACTGCTAACCTCTTAAAAATGAGAATATCTGCCACCATTTAGCTGACTTAACTTCCTGGGCACTGTGGGAGAAGCCAAGTTAACAGCCACTCACTCCTAGATGAACACTGCTTCCCAGGCTGCTGCATGCCCACCAGCTGGAAGAGGTGAGGTACACAAGGCCTCCATCCACACTTGCACCATGTCCCCAGAGCACAGAAATGTCTTTCCCCTCTTTCCCAGAGGGGAAATCAACCAGCTTGTCCCTTTTAGAAACCATTCAGCAACCTCTTGTCTGGAAGGTTGG